TCCGACAGACGTGCAGGGCGTGCGGTGCCTCCTGCAAATGCTGAACCACATCGGACATTTTTTGCTGTGCCTGTCCACCGCCACTGCGCCAAGCACGCTCATACTAAACAAGGACACGTCTGGACCTGGTACACAGGTCCAGACGCCTTCGACTCACTAAAGAAGATGGTGGCATCCAGCACCAGCGTGGTTCGATAGAGCCCAGAATATTCAGCAACCCTTTCTGCAGGCACCAGCTCGTACGGTTTGGGCACCGTCCTTCTACAGGAGCAACATGTGTTGTGCGACGAGCGATTGTCTCTGTGTCGCGTTCACTGACTACTGCCGAACAGCGGTACAGCAAAATCGAGAAGGAAGCGCTGGGAGTCCAATATGGCCCATTCAGCGGTTCATAAAACTGCACAATTTGAGCTCTAGTCGAAACCGCCCACCAGCCGCTGGTCCAGTTGCTGGGCTCCACCGACCTCTAACTCATGGCTCGTCACGTCCGTCGGTTCCGCATCCGGCTGCTGCGCTACCGGTTCATGATGCAGCATGTTCCTGGGGAGTGCCTCGCCACTGCCGACATGCTGTCAAGATACCCCGAAATCCTCGCTCCAGCTGCGTGAAATGCGGACAGCGTCGAGCTCTTCGTGTCACAGGCTCTGACTGCACACTCTAGGACCAACGGAGAAGAAAGACAACAACAGCGTGTTTTCCTTCATTTCACTAAAGCGCCGAAAAGCGTATCCGAGAAGCAGAAAGGAACAAGACGTGTTACTTCGTTCTGAGGCTGACTGGAGGAAATTTATTCCACCTTATATTCGTGAGCTGCTCTAGGCTTTGTGGCTTCTTCATTATTTTCAATCAGACACGCTGTATGTGCCGTTTGATAAGCAGTATTTGTGCACCCACGCATGCCCACGGAGCACGATAAGTTACCTGAAATTGTCAACCTTTGTGTGTTAACCACAGGTCGTCCATAGTATATTCTGACAAGAACGCAGAGCAGTATGCTGGTTTCTGCCCTTCATTTCGTCAAATAAGCAAATGAAGCCGTCATGAACCGCCAAGTTCTAAAATGGTGCTACGTACACCGGACACGACGGATTCGCAAGGGTTGCCCGACGCTGCTTGAGCCTATTTAAGTGTCACGGCGGTGAGCCCGTGACTATGGTGACCGCGAAATCCACCGTTATTACCATGGCGATACTGCTTGTTATTAGTCTGTGGGTCTACCATACTACATTCTTACCGAGTGTGTCAAACGATGATCAAATGGTGTTCTGTTTCTCCACGCATAACCAACATCGCTATGGTAGTACTGCCGGTTGTGAAAGTGGTCTTGACCCAAGACGCGAACCGTCGCCAATGGCACCAAGTGTCCCATTGTGAACCGATGATCATATATCGTCCTGGTGGTTTGGCTCCGCGCGTCAGCAGTATCGCCATGGTAGTGCTCTCTACTGTGAAAGTGTTTGTGCATGAAGATGCCAACAGTCGCCGAGCTGACATTTTGTTTCGCTAGAATTAACGTATGCTCTTTGCTTGCACAATTCTATTTTAGGTTTCAGCGTTTTAGGGAACCATATGTGCTGTTACTTTGCAGTCGATGTACTCGTGGATAGTCCTGTTGTGAACACAATCGAAACCATAACTTTGATCAGGCACTTGGTGTATTGTCTTGACAGCCTCTTCCAGCTTGCTTTCAATAGGCACAAATTGGTTCAGACGTGTTAAATAGTCTTTCTTTTTGTTGTTCCTGATCTGGGGATTGTGATGGGAGCTGTACACCAGCTCGTCTAGGTTTTCATCCTTCAATGTTGAAGGACCAAACTGTTATCTCTTTTTCTTATTTCTTTCTCTTAATCCCCATATCCCCATCTCTCTAGGAAGAGTAGCCAACTGGGACAAACAAACCAGGTTAATCTCTGTTTTCCTGTTTACATTTTTTCTTCTTCAACACCTCAAGCCGATTTTTGATTGTCTTTTCCATTGTAAACTGCTGGCATGCAAACAGTCGTACATTATTGTGCAGTCTACGGTTTTCCAGTGCCACTGCCGCCCCTTGCCCATTGGTTGTAAAGAAGATTGCCACAATTTTCTTTTCAACACTTCTTGACATTTTGAGCCTCAGCAGTGGAGTTTCTCCAGACAATATCCAAACGGATGACTGGTGCTTGGTTTTGAGAGCACACTGGACGGTCCACGTATTCTCAATCCTCACCAATGTCAGATATTTACTCTTAGCGTTGCCACTTTAGAATCGGTATGACATTCCTTGGCACCATTCCACCCTTGCATGGTTTTGAGCTTCCGTCAAATTCTGTAGCACCCTATATATGAAGCTTGTCAGACAAAGGTCCTCATGAAGAATCGCCGAAGCGCTCGGGGAACTAATCTTCATTGACTCTTCAATATCACCATCAGCCAGCCGAAGATCCTCCTTAACAAGCCTCTTCAAGTAGCAGTGTTTTCTTCGGTCACAGCTGTTAAAGGTTTGCCAATGCACTTGTGACTTTTGAGAGAGGTGAGGCCCCGCCTTAAGTCACCGAACCAACACAAAACTGTTGCACGTGATGGTGCAGCGTCCCCAGAAGCACATCACACCCGTTCCAGTGATTTGGAATCATTTAAAGCACTTTTGAAATTTTAACGCGCCACCACTCGAAAATCTCGTCTCTTGATGTCCAACACCGAAACCAAGTGAAAAGACGGGTTGTAACATGCCTAAGTCCGCAGCTGACACAAGGCGGCATTGTTGCAGACCATGAAGGTCTCTTTTATCTACCTTAGAACACCGTGCATCTGCCCATTCCGCACTAAGCGCCAACCCTCAAAATTTGAAACATCCTAAAACATATGCAGGGGACATATATATATATATATATGTAAAATTGGTGACCTCAGATGTGCCCATCCCCTATTTGTTTGCGATTATCTTCAAATTTTGAGGGGGTGCTTGATCAATAATTTAAGGTACGAACGAAGGAAACTTCAATTGCACCACAATTCGTTTGTTTCTGCCTTGTCTGTTTACCACAATTTCAAACCTTCGTAGTGAGCTGTGCGAAGTAATAGTAATTTTTATTTGCACGACATGTGGTTTGGGACGACGTGCGAGGCCTGACGAAACGGCAACAACCCATATACGCACTGTGCCTGTCAGCCAATCAATCGCCCAAGGTTGAGAAGAAGGATGTTAAGAAAAATGAAAGCCGTTCACAACACCCGGTAACGCCGAATTAGAGCGCAGTTCTTGAGGAGGAGGAGGGAAGGGTACTGAGGGGAGGGTGTACCCCTCCTCCCTCCTCCCCTCCTCCTCCCCTCCTTTTTCAAGCTCCTCCTCTCCTCTCCTTCTCCTCCTCCTCCCCCTCCGTCCTCTCCTTTTCTTTATCCCCCTCCTTTTCATCCCTCCCTCCTCCTCCCCCCGTCCTCCTCCTCCTCCCCGCGCGGTTCCCCCCCCCCCCCCCCCATTACGGGAAATATTCTATAATGCACCGCGAGGAACCCTCGTGACGTCAGGAGGGTCCCGCGCTGTGCATTATGAAATATTTCCCATAATGCACCGCGCGGTTACGCCGACGGCGACGCCGCTGAAGCCGGAAACGGCCGCCTAAGAGGAGCGCTCTAAAACAAACAACAAAATATAACCTGTAGGTGATGGGGCTAAGTCAAGTGCCGAGAAAGTTTTCGACACAATCGCGATTCTTCACGAATTTAAGGAAGGGGCGACTGAAAGCCGAGTGGGACCCCGAGAAATTCCCGAACTGCAGCCGGCAACACCGCGTTTTGATGCTGTACTGTTATGGAATATAAAAGCACGGGCTGCAGGTCCGTTTACTACGTCGAACCACTGAGATGCAGGAGACTTTGAGCGACCCGTCCTAGGTGCAGCAATTGGAGGGCAACAGGAGTCGCAGTGTGGCGGTGCTTTGCCGTCTGCCACTTCGAATGCTGCAACCACGTCACGTATGATGGAAGCGTATCACGTCAGAGGGCGGGACAAGCGAACAGTGCACGTATGGCACGGTGTTGCACATCCTCCAGCTGGTAAGTCAAGTGGCGCACGAGGACACAGCGCACCCGTAACAAACACTCAACGTTCACATTCACACCAAAAGAAAGGGACACTTACACAGCGCTGACTTCAACTCTTTGTATATTCCCGCCTTTTCTCTTCTTTCGCGTCTAATGCATAACCTAGGCCTCATCTTTTTCTTTCTTTGCTAAAGGTTAACTGTAAAAGTTTTAAGCCAGAAATTGAAAATTAAAAATTAAATGGAAAAATTAAATGAAAAATTAAAATTGAAATTACTGTAGATCAATGATGCAAAGTAATTTCAATTTTAATTTTTCATTTAATTTTTCCATTTAATTTTTAATTTTCAATTTCTGGCTTAAAACTTTTACAGTTAACCTTTAGCAAAGAAAGAAAAAGATGAGGCCTAGGTTATGCATTAGACGTGAAAGAAGAGAAAAGGCGGGAATATACAAACTTTTGGTGTGAATGTGAACGTTGAGTGTTTGTTACGGGTGCGCTGTGTCCTCGTGCGTCATGAACTACCAACTCGCCCGAACTTCTGTTTTAACAAGTTAAGTGGATTTGGTGTGGGTGCTACACATATGCGGAATGCTCCAACTTCAGTAGAACAAGTGCAGTGTAAAGCAAGTCTTGAAAAGCCACAAAATTTTGACAACCCAAAGCCCAAAGTGCACCGAGCTTTAGCCACTATGTTTGAAATGTGGAGAGATAAGTCCGGTGCTGGTGCAAAAATTACAAGCGTTGCCCCAAGGATTTACGCGCATTGTACCTTCCATATGGGGGATCCTGAGATAGTGTATATAGGGGAATACTCGTAGTCTTGGTCTTGGGGAAACGCATCACTATGCTCTTACCCTCACTCATGGTCAGTCAGTTTGCATGCGCCCACTCTGAAAAGTAGGTGATGTAGCCTTGAAGGCGGACAGAGCAGTCAGGAGAAGTGATGCGGGCGGCAATGGACCTGCCTTCTGCATACTGTTCGGGTAGGGTGTTACTGTTTTGCGGCATGTTGCTAACATAGAACGAGGACAAAATTGGACTAAATACGGAGCCTTGTGAAACTCCCGAAAGAGCTGGATAGCTTCGGGACATTGACTTATGGTAGCACGCGTCGGGTATAACCCACCATAAAGCGAGTCGACCAAAGTAGTAACGAGCGTCGGACACCGGCCCGAGCGGATTTTCTGATCAGGACGGCGTGATCGAGCATGCCAAGCGCACTCCTGCGGCTCAGTTGAATCAAATCAGCAAGAATGCGACTGTCGATACTGTTAAAAGTTCAGAAAGTATGTTCAATAAAATAGAAGATAATTAAAAAAAGGAGAATACATAATACATCATGGGACACATCCAACACCACGAGACATACATGTTTGTACGGTCTCGTGCTGGCTTCAGAGGCTCTTCTAAAAACACCATGATGATGATTGTTGGCGAACACCAGACACCGCGCGATAACAATCGGCCATATCTGACTCGCTGGCTGTCCTCGATCAGTTAGAGTTTGTCACGTCTTGGAAACGCTGTGGCTGTTTTCTTGCTTTCGTTTCTTCTTGTTTTCTTTTAACTGATTGTTTTTCTTCTGCTACTTTTTAACTGAGATCACTAAACTGCTGTACTCCTACTCACTATCCCTTTACGAGTCCATTGGTCTTAAGCTCGTCGGTGATTTACCGAAGTAGTTGCCGCTCTGTCCATGATGCGCTGTAAAGATCGCTCAATCCACGGCTGAACTCCCTGGTTTCTCCAGTATAGTCATGGCCGCAACTGTCATGCATCTCAGTTTCCGTGTGCTCATTGCAAAGCATTCACACTTTTTGTTCTACATCTCACAGATTTATTTCTCGTGTCCCTTGGTGGCGTGGCGGGCTCGCGCCGTTGCCAGCTGTGCTCAGCTGGCAGCGGTAGGAACGGCCTTTTATCGTTTATCGGCTCCGGCCAACTGCAGTTTATTTGTTACGAAAGTGTGCGGTACGGTACGAGGAACCAGCCGATACCAACATCGCGCAAGTGGTATGTGAATTTTCGCCTCTTTTGGGACTTCGAAAATTCGAGGCGAGCAAGCGTTGCTAGGCCTTAGGCTTAGCGCACGAGTACGGCCACCGGGGCGATCGCCCCCGGTGTTAGGCCTACCCGACGAGTACGAATAAGATGGCGTCGCCACCGACGATGGAGGTGTGCGAGAGCCCGGCAACCAAAGGCCTGCAGGCAACGATAGTCGGCAACGATGAAGGGAAGATGTACGTTCAAGTAGGAGGCCGCGACGCGACACCCGGCGAGTCGAGCGGATGGACCACGACGAGTAGAAGAATGCGCAAGGCTAAGGAGCAGCAAGGTGAGAGACCATCTTTAACCGCGGAACGGCAGTCGAGCCCCAAGGAGAGAGTTAACTTTGTCAAGCGAGTTACCGAGAATATCAAGAAAGCAGCCCGTATGCCGGCGGCTATCCCCAGAGACGACTATAAGATCGTGATTAGGCCAAGGGGCGGCCTGAACGTAGCTCGAATCGAGACGCCGGTCGTCACGGACGCCATTATGGCGGCCGCGGGGACGGCGAAAGAATACCAGGGCGAAGACATGGTGTGCATCAATGCGGCGCAGAACATCTTAGTCGTGAGCTCGCCGAGCGAGCAGAGAGCCAAAATTTACACTAAGATCAGGACCGTCGAATTCGGCAACATGGAATTTGAGGTTTCCGCCTACCGAACCGCGCCCGAAGGGACGGCGAAGGGAATCATCAGAGGTATCGCAATTGACGACTCGCCCGAAGACATAAATGAGGCGGTCGTGACAAAGTATAACCCAACGGCGCTAGAGGCGATCAGGATTGGAAATTCTACAGCGGTCATCGTCCTCTTTGAAGGACAGAGAGTGCCCCGGTTACGTAATATACCGAGCGGCACTGCTCAAGTGCGGGCTTTACAGGAAACATCATGAAGTGTGTAGATGTTGCGGAAAAGTCGGACACCGCATCGACGTATGTCCAACCCCGGAGACCAGAGTATGCTTCGCGTGCGGGGAGGCCAACCCCGACGCGGACCACGAGAAGGCATGCAAGCCAAGTTGCAAGCTATGTGGAGGAGCGCATCCAACGGCAGATAGAATTTGCAAGAACAAGTTCAAGGTCCCCTTCGTCGTCACGAAAAGACAATGGGAGCGCCGAGAGGAACGCGAACAGCAACAGCTCCAGAAGACAAGAGCACCAATGACGTCATCGGACTTTCCACAGCTGCCGAGCAGGGAGAAAAGCGAGTGCAGCGAAAGCCAACGGCGCACCGACAGCCGCGAAAGACACAAGAGCCAGCAAAAACACCTGCCGCCGTCGCAGCAGGAAGACGGGAAGCTTAAGTGGTTGGCTGCAGTTAAGGGAAGCAAGTCGAAAGAAACGCCCCGCAGCAAGCAGCAGCCACCATGCCAACACCATAACACCGGAGAACCGCCCGTGACAAGGCGAGAAATTTACGACATGATCAACGAAAACAACGAAAGGCTACTACAGAAGATGGAAGAGAAGATGGACGCAGGGATCGACAAACTACTAGAAGCAATAAGGGCGAGTCAAGCGCCACTGTCACTGCCGACCCCGCAACAGGAGCAAGAGGTAGAGCAGATACCCCGCCCATCCTCGAAGAAGAAAACCCCAGCAAAGCCACCTAAGAGGAAGGAGGAACCAGCCATCGCCGAAGAGGAGGCTACCAAAAGCAGCATCGAAAGCGACGAGGAACAGCCAAAGGAGCCCAGCAACAAAAAGAGGATTATTGAGAATACCAAAGAGAGAAAGCTCATGGCCAGGCTCGACCGCATGGACAAAGAGCGGGAACAAATTGCACATTCGATGAAGGAAAAATTCAACAAGGTAGAGATGACGCTGGGAGAAATACAAAGCGGAATGCTACAACTACAAACGCAGATGCAAACGTTCCTGCAGAGTATGGAAGCCAAGATGCAGACATTCGTGCAGAACGCCCAAACCCAGATCACCACCCAAATACAGCAATTATGAACCCAACAGCGAAATCAAACGCCAAGCCAGACAAAAGGGCAGTAACAGACCAGCAGCCGGTCAGGGACCTCCTGATTTGGCAGTGGAATTGTAACGGCTATCACAATAAGAGGGCAATGCTAACACGGCACCTACAGGGAATGGAGAGGAAACCGGACGTCATTATGATTCAGGAAACACTATGCACTGACACACCCCAACTTCAAGGATACAGAGCACATGCCAAGGCGGCCAAGCCCCTAAACAAAAAAAAGAAAAAGTTTGGAATACTCAAACCAACAGGCGGGGTGTGCACATTCGTCCGCAAGGGCATCGTATTCCTCGAGCACGAGCTGACCACCGGCGGCGGGACCGATAGCAGCGCGGTGGAGGTGATCGTTGGGAAGAAGAAGAGGAAAACCAGCGTGCTCGCGGTCAACGTGTACAGCAGCCCCAGACATAGAAAGCAAAAGTTCCGCACGCTCATGCAAAGGGCACTGCGTGCGACGAAGAAAGGCACGATCGTAATAGGGGGTGACTTTAACGCACCACACTACGACTGGGGATACGATAAGACAACGAAAAAGGGAGAGACCTATTACAAGACGCCACGGACGCGGGGCTAACGCTAATCACGAACCCGGAGACCCCCACAAGAACGGGTACTTCGGTCGCCAGGGACACCACCCCGGACCTGACGTTCGTCGAAATAAATGGGAACGACACCGCAACGTGGAAAAACACCAAAAACGACTTCGGCAGCGACCACATGGTCATAGAGATCCGGGTCCCGCTGGGGAAGGGTGCAAGCCAAGAGAAACGAACACACAGATACACGAACTGGGACGAGTTTCGGCGTCAGCTCCCAAGCCAGCATGGTAACATTGAAGATATAGAAGCGTGGTCGAAGGCGATAGTAGAAACGACCGAGGAGGTGACGACAGAGATAGAAACGGACGAAGACATACACGAAATGGACAGCAGATTGGCCCACCTCATCGAGGCGAAGACTGCCCTCAAGAGAACGTGGAACCAACAACGAACAAACAGAAGGCTCCGCAAAAAGATCGCGGAAATCAACAGGGAAATAGAGAAACACAGCCAGGTGCTCGGCCGGCAGCAGTGGGAGCAAACGTGCAGAGAGGCGGACGGCCAACTCCATCTGGGCAAGACGTGGCGACTGCTCCGGCACCTCCTCGACGACACCCAGACCAAGGGAGAACAACAGTACAAGCTCAGCAGAATTATACACAAGGCGGTAGCGGAGCACGGGGAAGCGGATGTGAAGAGGAGACTCGACGCCAAATACCTCCCGGTTTCCCCAAAGGAAAAGCACCCAGAATACCAGGGGGCAGAGAACATCGAGGTTGACCAAGACATCGAGGAATGGGAGGTCCGAAATGCGATGCAAGACCTGAACAGGCGTTCGGCGTCGGGCCCGGACCGCGTCAGCAACAAAGCGCTCAGAAACTTGAACGACGCGGCCGTGACGGCACTGACGGCGTACTTCAATAAATGCTGGAGGGCCGGCAAGCTACCACGCCAGTGGAAGGAAGCCAAAACCATCCTCATTCCGAAACCAGGCAAGTCGCCCGACATCGAGAATCTACGCCCAATATCCTTAACATCGTGCGTGGGTAAACTGCTAGAGCACATCTTAATGACCAGATGGCAACAGTACCTCGAAGAGGCAGAGCTCTACCCGGATTCTCTCGTCGGCTTTAGAAGCAAGCTTGGAACGCAAGACGCCATGCTCCAACTCAAGAAGGAGATTGTAGACTACGAAACTCACACCAGCGACAACAGGGCAATACTGGGCCTGGACCTGCAGAGCGCCTTCGACAAAGTCCGGCACTCTGCGATCCTCGCCCAAGTGTCGCACCTGAACATGGGACAGAGATCTTACAATTACATTCGGGATTTCCTGACCGACCGCACGACTCGCATCTGCGCCGGGGATCTCCAACTACCAGAGAAAACGCTCGGCAGCGAGGGGACACCACAAGGCGCGGTAATCTCTCCGCTG